TATTTATTTGTTGTCAGCTTTAATATCCCAAGTATAAGCCTCTATATAAGAATTAATTTTCTTTTCCAGGCAAAGGGAAACTACTGAAGAAACAAAACTAAGAAGCATAGGAAACCATGTATTTATAAAGCTAAGGACATTTGCCAAGTAGTACTTTCTTCGTGGCTCTGCATGCCACTCTGGAGCCATGAAACAAGTTCTTGACAGAGTGTTTAGAGACATTGCCTTTTTAAAATAAATGAACAGGGTTGGGTGAGTAAGCTCTTTGCAACAGCAGCTGAGGATCCAGTTTCAGAATGCTTGGAAGTTGGCTTGTGAAAGGAGGTTCCAAGAAGCACAGCAAAATAAGGCAAGACATTTTTAGATTCCAGATTCCAAGATGGCATTCACCTGAAATATGAGGATGACCTTGAATACTATTGATAATCACTAACATGTTTCCTTCAGTTTTCCTGAGATGTTAACTATAAAGGAGCTGAAGAAGAGAACAATAATTGTTTGAAACAACAACAAAAAAGTTGCTATGAGAAAGTGAACAGAATAATAATCAAAGTAAAGTCCCATTACAATTTTATTGGTACAATTGTTTGATTTTTAAAAAATGTTTTAATTGTCTGAATGTTGAAATTTTGAATCTTGTATCCTTAGATGTATAGTGGTTTATTAATACCACAGTTAATTCCTGTGGTGCATTAGCAAAAACACTTTATAAGTTTTATGTTGGATAAGCTTTCATAATATATATTTCATAATATAAATGTGATGAAGTGGGCTCCTGCCCACAAAGTTTGTGGCACATTAAATTCATTATTCATTAAGTTATCAAAGGACATGTGGGTAGGGGGGTTGTTGTTGGTTGTTGCTTCAACAGAGAAACATACAAATCTTTCCCTGTTTATAAATACTGTTGCTAAAGAAAAGCACAAAGGAGCAAAAATAAATAAATAAACTCAGGAAAAAAACCCATAATTTTAGCTATGTGTTAATAGGGTCTTATTTCACAAAGCACATGACTCATAGGAGTTTTTTGCACAGCTAAAAAACCCAACTTACCTTTCCTGGTTTGAATACTCTTCTGGGATGAAGCTGGTATTATCACACCAAAAAACTCCTTAATTCGCCACCAGTTCCACCAGCCAAGTCCAGCCCAACTGCAGCCTGAGTCCCAGGCACCCCTTTTCAAAGCCAGAAAGCTGCCAGCTTGGAAAAATGGCAGCCGAAATGCACCTGGGACTTGGGATGCAGCCAGGCTGCACTCAGCTGGTGGAATCAGCAGCAAATTTGGGAGTTTTTTGGTGTGATAATACCCAGCTTCATCCCGGAAGAGGATTCAAACCAGGAAAGGTAAGTTGGTTTTTTTATCTGTGAGAAAAACTCCATAGTAACTGCTAGTCTTGATGCACACACCCAGACATATTTTTTACCTCCTGCGCCCTCTGCATTGCAGTGGAAAAACAAACTGTAAGCAAATTAACTCACAGCAACCAGGGTTCTTTAGTAGAGCTGAAGCAAACAAAATAGTTTAAAAACACAGTTTTATTATGCCAGCAGTCCTGATGGAATTAGCATTCAGATCATCGGGC